TAGGACGCTAAATGGAAATGATGAATGCAATGTTGATAAGTTCTGGATTGCCACAGAACTTGTGGAGGGAAGCAATTCCTCTCTGCAAATTACATTCTGAATAACAGTACCCCAGAAGAAGGTGGACAAGACGCCGTATGAGTTATGAAAGGCGTTAAGCCTGTCGTATAAATTTCTTAGCGAATGTGGGGGTATCTGGCAAAAGTGGCGATTCTACAGCCCAACGGGATAGATAGGCCCGAAATCTGTGGATTGTTATATTCAATTGGTTTATGCACATAATAGTAGTGCATATCGGTTTCTGTTATAAGTCTGAAATTCGCAACATACATAGGAATACCATCCATGGAGTCAAGGAAATGCCATGTTTCTTTTGAAGACATTTTCCTTGCCGAACCATGCAGGGGTTCCAAGGTCTTTGGAGCAATTTGATGAGCTGCTAGTAGGAGATCATGTTGATCGATCAGTGATGATGCCTGAGGGATTTAATGAGCCCAAGTACGGAGGAGTGTAGTATGAGTAAGACGTAGGTTACTCATAATCAGTGTTTGGGTACACAGATGTTTCTTACAGATTTCGGTATATAGGTTAAACGTAACGGTGCGAACCTCCTCTAACACGAAGCTGTGCAACTTTTCCTGTCGGAAGTCCTTTATGGGAAGTCGATGTGGCGTAACACAGTGTGAGATTGATTTTATCTTGACTAGAGCCAAACTTGAGAAGTTGGTCAGGTTTTAGCCGAGTCCAGGGTTTGGTACAGCGGTTAGGGTTGAGGCTGCTAAATTGGATTGTTAACGTAAGGACTCGAACGGCCGATCGACTCTAATGACAAATATAAGCGCGAGGCCGCTATCAAGGGACAGGCAACGAGAAGCGTCCCTTGTGATTATCGGATATGTACTCACTATCTGGGTAACAGATAGCATCATTCCATTGCAGTGATTGATATGGAGATAGTAGCTTGCGCAAATTTATGAGATACACAGAATGGATGTAAAGACCGCTTTCTTACAATGCGGATTTGATTGAAGAAATCTACATGGAGCACACCTAAAGGGTTTTCAGCTCCAGGACAGAGGCAAAAGTCTTGTAAACTTGTACAAAATCTTTGTATGTATTTGAAGCAACGCCTAAAGCAAGCATGAGAAGTTTGACAATTGTAAGTTGTCAATGGGTTTCGAATCGATGAATGTGACAAATGTTTTTATCGTCAAAGACACATGACAGAGGTTATGTCATTTTGTGTCTATATGTTAAATGATATGCTCATTAATAGTAGTAAACGATGAAATGATCAAAACTTACCAAAAGTTGTTAAACTTCAATTTGCATTGAAAAGAGATAATGAGGCATTAGCGAGATGTTATTTTCTGGATTAAATACCAGAATCTCTGTTACGGGAATTGTACTTCTCAGTTCATTATATGTTGAGATAAATATTTAGAGAAGTTTAGTGAGTCAGATACGAGTGTGTCATCGACAGCTTGTAGACTTAAGTCTACACTTTACCAAGAAGAAAAAAGAGAGTGCTCTCTATTAGAATATTTCGAATCGGGTAATTGGAAGTTATTGTATCTTGATGAGTTTGTAACTAGCCAGAATATCGCTTACATCAGTTAGACAGGCGTAGTAGATACAAACAAGTAATCCTGATGCTTCTCATTGGCAAGAGGCATTGCCGGTGGTTAAGGTATTTACGTTTACAACTCGGAGATTTATGGCTGCATTTACTCGAATCAGCGGTGCTTGAACAGATTATAGTGACGCGAATTGATATGCAAGCATACTAACGAGCTCCTCAAAAGTCCACTAGTATGATTATGTGTTCACTCTTGTGGAGCAGCCGTGTCTTGGAATCTTCCAAGCAAACGTGTATATCGATAATCAATCGATGGATCAAGATTATTAATTTGATAAGCACGGAAGAAAGCAAGAATGAGCATTCGCCCATTTCATTGAGATATTCCATGTTGGTCTAAAACTGTTGCCAGCTATTTGGTATTCATTGTGATTGCCAACAAATTCTGCAATTGGGTAAGGGCAACAGAGTAATATGGACTATAATAGGAAAGAATCTAGACATATCCGTCCGTAGACATAATTCATACGAAACTACTGCTGCGGATAGGGAGTTGTCATCTTTAGACTATGAAAGTCTAAGGACAACATTGCGGTGATCCGCTAACAAGGGTAAGTCGGAGTGTTAGTCGAAACGTCGAGTCAAAAGGAATGGAGGTTTAAGCCTTTGGAGTTAACCGGAATGGAAACCACAACCTAGTTGACTGGAGATCCCAAGATCTAGGTTCAAATGGGAAACAACCTAATGCGTGTAACCGGGTATGTCACTGAGGAGGTTAAACCTCCAACATCTATCTTTTATTAGTGAACCTGCAAAGTGTAAGAGGATAAGCTGAGCTTTTAATGACTTTCTTAATGTGATGTTAAGCTGTTGGGCTAAGTATTGCAGGATACTTTAGTAGAGTCACCTATGTGAGTTTGGAGTGGGGCCGCTTCTATAAGAATTGGACAGGCCAAGATTCTTTGAAACCACTCGCTGAACCAGGCTAGTGTCCAAGGCCACACAGGGCACACCGGTGAGAACATAATGGTGGTAGGAGTAATTCCCGTGTGAGATCTATTGTCTCAATTTACATAAACGGTAGAGCAGTTCAAGATGTCTTATTCACTGATCTGCTAGTAAACTCGGTAGGTTTTCACTGGGAGAGGTTCAAAGCCAAAAGCTACCTTCTCTGATGTCGGGGTTAATCCGTTGTACTCTCTCTCAGAGTCTTTATTGTTGAACAATGTCCGTTTGTTGAGTCATTCGGTCAATTTTTATTCATGTGGGGGATTGTTGGAAAAAATAATTTTTGGGGACTTTAATTTAATATTAAAGTGTGTTGACTTTAATTAAATATTAAAGTGGGTCCTAACCATTTTTTGTGTTGGGTCCAAGTGAGCCAAAAATCATTGGGTTTTGAATAAGAAATTGCCAGGAAATTGCTTCATGATGTTAGATTCATAAATAGGATTTTAAAGAGTATTTAAATCTTTTTTCTTGGCTAAAGGGTGTGAATCCTTTGAACATCTATACTTCTCATTTTGTGGAAAGGGGCTATGGATGCTTGGTGTTTTAATGACTAGCTTTAAAGGCTGAAGGCTTTTCCTCTTTCCCCTATACATGTATAAATTGAGACCCTCCTGTCAAGTTTCAATATATAAATTTTTGCTTCCATTTTACAAGTCAGTTTGCTTCATAGTTCCTATTGTGAGAGAGTGCTGCCATTGTTTTGTTCGCTAAGCTAGACAGATAGTGCTTCTGCCGTAGCTGGTTTTGATCGTCGTATCCTAGGAGACAGACGCCGGATTTCCTCAAGCACTCGACCCGTGAGGCGGCGAAATCTGTTTTAAGGAAACTGCTTCCGTGCAGGCTTCGGTTTTGTCTCTTTACCCTTTATTGTTTTTTTGTGTATTTCTGTTGAAATTTAGTTGTAATTATCAGCATATGTTCTTGGTATATAATTTGTTTTCTTCATAAATCTATTTATTTAATTTCACAATTTTGAACGACATATATTGAACTGAGCTTTTTTACTGTCTAAATCTAAATTAGAGGATATTATTTCGGAACGATAAATAATTATGAGTCACGTTTCAATCATCCTAATTATTTATTTTATAGGTTTTTGATATATATCAGCCCTTGTTTGAGAATAGATTATTTTAGTAATTTTTTGACTTTTTACGAAAAAATATACAAAAAAATAGAGAGGGCAATGTGACAACATATAATGACTTTTTGATTAAAATATATAATTGACAAAAGAAGTCTAATTTATATAATATATTAAATCGATCCGATAATTATAACATGTTTAATTTAATATATTTATTAAAAATAAATAAATGATCTACTTTCAAAAATCTTTGTCTATTGCTTTTATAAATAGATGTTATGAATTAAAATCAACCTAATTTGTTTTGATAGATGGTATTAATATATGAATAATTTGAAGAGAGCCAAGTCAAAAAATTCAATTTCATACCTCACATCTCACGCGTCTCAAAGTCAACATTCATACAGTATATATATATATATATATAACGCAACATTCATAACACCATACTTTCTCTCACCTAACTTCTTATTCCCTCTCTCTAGCCATTTATATTCATGTGTCTATAGAGCTTTAGTTTCATTTCTTGGTTCTTCGAAATTAAAAACTAGTCCATTTTTTCTTGTACTTTCTTGGGGTTTTTTTTTTTTTACTGAGAAAGAAAAGTTTTCCGGCTAGTTAATTTGAGAGTTTTGGCGGCGGAGAGAGAAGATCCATGGCGGAGGAGACTGGTGGAAGGTCTTTGGAGCAAACCCCGACATGGGCTGTCGCGGTGGTTTGCTTTGTTTTGGTTGCGATTTCAATTGTCATCGAGCATATCATCCATCTCATCGGAAAGGTATATATATATGATTAATAGAAAAAATATATATTTTTAAAAAATATTATGAGGTTCAGATTTATTTATTTTTTAATATTTTTTATGTACGAATTTTGTGTATCTCAATAATATTTAGTGTGTACTATGAATTGAAATTCTTGCATGATTTGCAGTGGTTAATGAAGAAACACAAGAGAGCTCTTTATGAATCACTTGAAAAGATCAAATCAGGTACTCACCCAGTAATGTAAGATCAAAGAGAGCTCTTAGCACTCACCTTTTCTTTCACTTTGGTGATGTATTATCTTCTTGTTTTTGATAATTTTATAAATAAAAATATATATATATATATATGTATATATATTATCAATTTCGATTCTATTGCCATGAGTTCGAGTCACATAAATAATTATTAAAATAAATAGTGTCATAGTTTCAATGCATTTTTTTATTCAAAATTATAGTTTGAGTTTCAAAATAAAAAATTTGTACAAAACTATTATTCAAAAGAAAAATGCTTGGGAGCACTAATTAGTGCTCCCACTAATTAGGTGGCAGTAGGTCCCGCCATTAATGATGTGATGTTTTGGTCTTGGAGTTGTATTTTTTTTTATTTTTTTTTACTTTTTTAATGCATTAGTGCTATTAGTGGTGATGTTTTTAGTGGGATGAATCATTGTTGTTTTGGCTTTGGCCCAGTTGCCTCAAACATGCGTGAAACCCACGCGTTTTCAAAACAAAGAGAGAGAAGAGAGAGGAGGGAGAGAGAGGACCACGATTTTTGTTTGCTCTAAAATCCACCATTAGCCCCAACCTTCAAAGCTCTCTTCACCTTCCATTGTTCTTTCACCAACATATATATATATATAGAGAGAGAGAGAGAGAGAGATCATATAAACCCAAAATGGAAGGAATCAAAATTCAATTTTGATCAATCTCAGTTTTCACTCTCACCATGAAAGTTTTTTAAATAGCTATACATATAGATATATATATAGAGAGAGAAAGAGAGAGAGAGAGAGAGAGAGAAGATGAGAGGCGAATTTGCAAAAGTATCATACAAATCCAAACGTGTTTGTAAATCTTCACCAAACCCAGAAATTCCAACAAACTCTACATCCTCACACTACTCCCTCCGCCGCTGCCATGAAAGAACCCAATAGAGACGGAGGAAATGAGGGCTCCGGTGGCAGAGAAGAAGCTACCAGTTTGTGGGCTTGGACAACTCCGGTGTCGATTTGATAAAGACGAAGCTGTTTGAAAGAGAGAGAGAGAGAGAGAGAGAGAGAGAGAGAGAGAGAGGGATTTGAGGCAGAGTCTGCGTTTGAGAGGAGGAAGAAAGGAGAGCGCAGAAATTCCAACAAACTCTACATCCTCACACTACTCCCTCCGCCGCTGCCATGAAAGAACCCAATAGAGACGGAGGAAAGGAGGGCTCCGGTGGCAGAGAAGAAGCTACCAGTTTGTGGGCTTCGACAACTCCGGTGTCGATTTGATAAAGACGAAGCTGTTTGAAAGAGAGAGAAAGAGAGAGAGAGAGGGATTTGAGGCAGAGTCTGTGTTTGAGAGGAGGAAGAGAGGAGAGCGATTTCAGAGACATTGGGTCGGATAGAGAGAGATAGAGAGGAGAGACAAAGGGTTCATGCGCATGAGTCCAAAATGGAGTGAGAGGGTGCCAACACATTCGGGCGATTCGGGGGTTACAAATTCGAGCTGCAAATCATTTTTTATTCAAAATTATGCTTCTTATTCTGATAATTTCATTGAAAATAAAAAAACTCATCGTTATGAACATGATTTACAAGTTGGCCAGATCATTTTAGAAGTAAATTTTGCACAAAAATTCCAATGTAGTGTGGTTTGAGAAGTGAGTTGACTTTTTGATTATTTTAATTTGAGTTTAAAAGTTTGGTTTGGGAATGATTTTTTGACTTTTTGACTTTTTTATTAACTTTTTTTGTGAGAGAAGAGTAATGATTATAAATTGGATGTGATGTTTTATTTTTTGTGACTAATATAACTTATTTTGTCTTTTGTGACTAAAATAACCAAAAAAAACTCAAAGTAGCTCTTCCCAAACAGAGCTAATACATTTTCCCATCTAGGAAAAATTGCTTATGAAAATTTTGATAATATATCATTTTTCTTTAAAATATAAGATAAAATAAAATAGTGTATACTGCGTCACTCATGGACCTAGTGCCCTTTCAAACTTGTTTATGGGTAGGGGTGTAATTTTGGCCTGGCCTGGCCCGGCCCATCCTAGCTCGCGCCGGGCCCGACCCATGTTGGGCATTGCGGGCTCTCGCCAAAAAATTGGGCCAGACCGGGTCGGCCCACGGGTTAGAAAACTAGGCCCAAGCCCAAGGGGTATTCAGGTTTTAGGCGGGTCTAAATATTTTTTTTTGTTTTTTTCATTAAAATTTTATTATTTTTCATTAAAAATAACATTGGGCATCAGCGCTGGCTGGCCTTGAGCGAGCCAATGGGCTGGGTCAGGTCAGGCTTCAAAACGATGGCTCAGACCCTGACCCAAGGCCTCGGGCCGCAGGCGAGCTTCGGACTGCCCGCGGGCCAGAGGCCAAAATTACACCCCCATTTATAGGTACCCTACCAAACTTGTTTTTATGAGACTCTTATGCACTGAACAGTGATGCTCTAAATCGAGCTCTATTGTGCTGGCAGTTTTTTTTTTGTTAATAAACCATAACATTACGTCAATGTGAGACTCACACAATTGCCACGTCATTAAAGCAAGCCCTAGACCTCTTATTATAGAGGTTTGAAACATTTTTCATGTGTTGAATCATAATTTTTTCTTGATGTATTTTTTTTTAATTAGCAAAAGAAGAAAATTTTATTGATGAAATTAACACAATATATATGGCATGACATCATTTTTTTTTCCTTCACATATATCTGTTAATAATTTTCAAATTCAACTCATCTTTTCATTTCTCGTTGATATTGATCATTTCTCATCCATACATGCATATTTGAAGCTAGCAAAAATTAACAATTTTTGTTTTTGTTTTTGTTTGGGTAGAGCTAATGTTGCTGGGGTTTATATCCTTGCTCCTAACAGTAGGACAAGGTCAAATCTCAAAGATATGCATACCAAAGAGTGTAGGGGCTACATGGCATCCATGCAGTAAGGGCCGGGAGGCCATCTCAACCAATACTGAAGCTGGACGCCGGAGGCTTCTGGCGGCATCAAGCGCCACTGGAAGTTTCCGGCATATTCTGGAGGAGACCGCCGTCGCCGCCCCCGCATCAACTGATAGATGTGGCCCGGTATGACTCTTTCGTTTACATTATTTCAATTTTTTTTTTTTTTTTTTGGGTAAAGAAAAATGATATGAACACTAACAAAAAAATGAACGGATAGGATTTGTTGCAGAGGCGGCTGGCGCACTTCTGAAAAATCACACAGCGTTTAGTTTAGGCAAAATTTTTAACTATTTTTCAAAATTTATAAGTAAATATATAATTTATAATTACTCAAACTCAATTTAAAAATTAATTTTAAAATTCATAACTAAATATATAATTCAAAACTTAATTCAAAAAAGGGTTGCAAACGAACCGAGCCGAGCCGAGTTTTGCTGAGCTCGAGTTCGGCTCGTTTACTTATTGAGCTCGTTTATTGAGCTCGAGCTCGGCTCGATAAGGAACTGGGTTCGAGCTCGGCTCGGCTCGATAATTTTTTTTTAATATTATTTAAATATAAATATTTAAATAAAAAATATTATTTATATTATTTAATATATAAAAATGTATTTATATTATTATTTATATATTTTGACCCCAAGGGTTAAATAAAGATAAACGGGGTTGAACTTGATGAGCCGAACTTATTCAAGCTCGAGCTCGGCTTGTTTACTAAACGAGCCGAGCCGAGCCCTTAACGAGCTGAGTCGAGCCCTTAACGAGCCGAGCCGAGCCGAGCTTGTTTATGAACAGCTCGGTTTATTTGCAGCCCTAAATTTTTTTTAGAATCATCAAATTATAATTTTAAAAAAAAATCACAATTTTAAAACTAAACCAAATGCAACTCATATTTGTCCATATATATTTTGTTTCTCAATTCTGTGTTTGAATCATGTGTTGTTAGATATTTGTCGGTTTGGCAATTGTCATCATCATCCATTTGAAAAAAAAAAAAAAACAAAATAAAAAAAAAAAAAAAATTGCACAATCATGTGTTATTAGTCATTCTTTTGGGATGTAGATTAATTTTTTAATTTTTAATTTTTTTACTATTTTAATTTAGGATTAAAAAACTTCATTTAGGATAGATTTTTTAATTTTTTTTAATTTTTATAAAAAAATATAAAAATTATAAATTAAAAATAAAATTTTATCTTATTTAATTAAAATAATTTATTTTATCTTGTATAACTATTTCGGTCTAAGTGAACTTTTCAAATGGACCTAGGTATTTGTTGGTTTGGTAATTGTCATCATCATACATTTGATAAAGGAGAAGGATAAAGAAAAGGAAAAGGAAAAAAAAAACATGGGACACGCAGGGAATCTAAAAGAGTCATATCATATCTTAATGACATGTCATACCTTACCGACGTAAAATTTATATCCCATTTGGAAGATAGTTTTGACTATGTCAATCGTAAAAGGTAAAATAAATTATTTTAATTGTAATAAATAAAATATTATATTTAATTTATAATTATTATATTATTTTTTTATAAAAAAATTTTAAAAAAAAAAGGTTAAAAAGTCATTTTTAAATTAAATTTTTTAATTCAAATTAAAATAATTAAAAAAATCATAAAATTAAAAAGTCAACTCACTTTTTAAACGACACCTATGAATAAAATTTGTTGGAGAAACGCACTTTTAAAAAATTATTGGAATATTTATTAGTTTAGCAATCGTCATCATCACACATTTAAAAGGAAAAAAAACAAAAAAAAAGTAGAAGAAAAATGGAACATATATGTCATGCGAAATTAGTTGGAGTGCACTTTTGCAAAACCATGCTCGTCATATACCTTTTGTTTATTTGATTTATGTACTTTTTTAAGTGCATGTATTAATAATACAAATTAACCAAAGTTATTGTGTGATTATTATTATTATTTTTTTTTTTTCAGAATAAAGTCCCATTTGTGTCAGCTGAAGGGATTCATCAACTCCACATCTTCATATTTGTGTTGGCTGTTTTTCATGTCCTTTACTGTATTCTCACCATGGTTTTGGGCAGATTGAAGGTACTTTTATATATATATATATATATATATATCATCACACACCCATCTCATATTCTCTCTTTTGTCTTTCTCTCTCATATATTTATAGATATATAATATAATGACATATTAAAAATTTGAATGGTTGGTGGAGTTGTAGATGAGACGTTGGAAGTCATGGGAAAAGGAAACAAGAACAGTGGAGTACCAGTTCTCACATGGTTAGTCCTCCAAATATCACTGGATGACACACATATACATAAGGAAAATGTCTCGTAACTTAAATTTTGTGGCTCAAAAGTGGTTCAAATGGCCAAAACGACGTCGTTTTGGTCATTTTTATGTTGTTCTGTACTCAAAACGACGTCGTTTTGGCCATTCGAGCCACTTTTGAGCCACAAAATTTGAGCTACGTAACATTGTCGTATACATATAGGGCTATTTTGGGAAGGGAAAATGTTTGGTAGCTCAAAATTTTGTGGCTCAAATGGCTCAAATCTGTCAAAACGACGTCGTTTTACACTCAAAATCTGTCAAAACGACGTCGTTTTGAGTAATTTGAGCCATTTGAGCCACAAAAATTTGAGCTACCTAACATTGTTGTTTGGGAAGTTGACTAAAAGTCACTTGTTTTGGTTTGTAGCAAAAGTTAAAAGTTGGCTTTTTTGTCTTTTTTTTTTTCATTTGGGAAGTTGGTTTTTAGCCAACAGTAAAATTACAATTTTACCCTCATGGGTCAAAATGTGTTACATAGGTGAAGTCGTAAATATTTTAAGTAAATAGGGGTTGTTTGGTCATTTTATTATGATTTGACATCATAAACAAACATTAATCAAAAAAGTCAAAAGTCACTTTTTACCAACTTCTCAAATCATTTGTCTAAAAAAGAAAGCTTGGTTAAAAGTTAAAAAGTCACTTTTTACCATCTTCTCAAAATAAGCCATAATATAGATATAAGGACACTTATAAAAAAATGTATACATAATTTCATTTACGTGCTCCTAGACACATGAAAGTAAGATTCACGTTAATAAATTTATATTAGACTGTTGTCTTGTGTTTAAGAATGTGAAAATGTTGTAGAAAATAGAATTGTATGTAAAAAAATTTGAAAAATTTAAAAATTTCTTAGATATTGATTTGTGATTATGTATTAATTTTAAATAGTAAATATCAATCACAATCAAACAATCAAGATAAATTGACCCAACGATTTTAACGTAGAAAAATCACAATTGGAGCGCCTTCAATTGTGATAAAAAATCACGGGCCAAAATCACAAAACAATCCACTAAGAAAACAAAAAGAATTACACAAGTACACTCTCAATAACCTAGTGAATCTATTCCCGAATTGAATTGACCCCTATATGTCTCTTTCACCACGGTCTTTACCTCGGAATTGTCTTGCCCAACATTGAATCTACAATGTCAATGTCGAACCTACGACGATGAGCCACTCCAGAATCTACTAAAACTTCAGGCTTAAATTCCTCGAAACTCGTCGAAAAACAACTCTCTCTTTTGTATTGAATAAAACAAACAATCTTTTGATATATACTTCTCAAACCATGAGTTAAACTCAAACAAACATCAAAGAAACTAACAAAGAAGTTCCAGATAAAAACTTTAATACCCAAAAAGAAGATTTGAAAGCCGTAATCCTAAAAATGGATTGAACCACATATTTATAGAAAATTGATCTGCGATCTCCGCTCGAGCGGATCTACGCTCGAGCACAGAAATAGCCACTCGAGCGGAAAAAAACAACTCCCAATACTTTTGCAGGAGAATGAAACGTCTGAAAGATCGCGATCTCCACTTGAGCGTAGGAATGGCCGTTCGAGCGAACAAACAACTCCTGCTGTAATTTTACTTTTTGCTTCGGGGGCGCTACCTTTTGACCCCGTCAAGGGGCGCTGCCCCGGACTCGTCAAGGGGCACTGTCCCCTGGACCCTCACGAGCTGACCGGACAGTTAGATCCCTGATATAGTCAGCGAAATGACAAACATAAAAGAATTAATACCACAAAATTCTCTGTAGGGTACAATTCGGTTTGAATTCACATCTAATAACTTATAGCCTCACTGAAATAAAAGTTGAATAAAATCACAACTAAAAAGAGTTTTATCAAATAGGATTATCAAAAATAAAAACTTAACAATTTTCATATATATATGTATAATGTGAAATCCATATGCAGATCCGGAGAGGTTCAGATTTGCAAGAGAGACTTCATTCGGGCGAAGGCATTTGAGCTTCTGGACCAAGAATCCAGTACTCATTTGGATTGTAAGTCATATTCACCTCTCTTCTATAATTTAAAGCGACTTTTTCCTTGTATACATATGTATATATAGTACTAATTTGGCAACTTGGTTAAAAGATAAAATTTTTAATTTATTTTGAATTATATCATTTATCTACTTTTATATATATATATATTTTAAAAAAAATCAAAAAAATAAAAAATTTAATTTTAACCAATTTCTTAAAACAACTCATAATAAAGATACATGTATAAAATTGATTCACATAAGAAAAAAAATCTAATAAATTATTATAGGATCTAGATTTAACTCTCTCTCTCACGCGCACACACATATATATATTTAAAAATGTATATATATATATATATATATTAAAACAATAACTAAAGATGAAAAAAAAAAAACTTTCAAACCACTTAAACTATGCCAATTATAATATTAAAAAAACATTTGGGTTCATCAAGCATAATTCTTTTTGGTAACAACTTTATTTTAAAAAATAATTACTAAAAAAATAATTATCAAACAAGTCCTATTTTGGAATCTCATTTTCATTTTGATCCGTGATCTTGCAAAAAGGGTAATGCTTTAGACCATGCCCGATGATAACGACTCAACCAAACCGTACAATAATAATTTGTTTCTTCTATCTGTTTTTTTTTTATTTTGGTAAACTGGATGCATTAAAGTAAGGAAATTACATAAGTTTAGGATAATTAAGCCTCTGTTTGGGAAGTGCGCTGGTTTTTTTATTTTTTTAATTATTTTAACTTGAGTTAAAAAATTTAGTTTGGGAATGATTTTTTAGCTTTTTTTTGTGAGAGAATAGTATAATGATTATAGATTAAATGTGATGTTTTGTTTGTTATAACTAAAATAGTCTATTTTATCTTTTATGAATAAAAAACAAAAAAAAACTCTTGCCAAACAAAGCCAAAGGCCAAGTTTGGCAACTCAAAAATAATCTATCTTTTTATCTTTTTTCTATCACATTACCTCTCTATTTTTCTGCACATCTTTTTATAAAAAGATAAAAAATACACTTTTTTAGATTATCTCAAACAACTCTAAATACCCTGAACATCGGCCAAAAGTTGGTTTCTCTCTGCAATTCAAATACTCCACCTTCATTATATTGATTTGACTTTTTTTCTCTCTTACATATTGTACATTGAAAAATAATTAAGCATTTGTTTGGCAACTTAGATTAGGTTCAATTTAGGGTTATTTCGATCACAGAAAAAAAAAATAGATTTTTTAATTTGATAAAGTAAAATATTATATTTAACTTATAATTATTACGTTCTTACTCTCATAAAAGTTTAAAAAGTTAAAAAATTCATCCCAAACAACGCTTTTTGATTCCAAACTATAATAATTTAAAAAGTCAAAAAATTAACCCATTTTCCAATCGAACCCTAATTAATCTTAAAATATTGTTCGGACTTATTTTAAAAAGGAAGCTAAAAGTTAGTTTTTGATTTTTTTTTTAAAAAAACATATACTAAAATAGAGAGAAGATGTGATTGAAAAAAAGAAAATGTCTCGTAGCTCAAATTTTGTGGCTCAAAAGTGGCTCAAATGGCTAAAACGTTTTGGCCATTTGAGCCACTTTTGAGCCACAAAATTTGAGCTACGTTTTGGCCATTTGAGCCACTTTTGAGCCACAAAATTTAAACTACGTAGCATTGTCGTTAAAAAAAAATCAAGAAATTTAAAAAAAATTGTTTTTAACCATATATGATATTTTCAACAAATAAAAAGGTGGTTTGGTAATGGTTTTTTTTAGTTGGTTTTTTTAATTTTTTTAGCTTAAGACTTTTTTGTTTGTTTAGTTTTTTTATTTAGCTTTTTGATTTTGGAATGATAGGCTTTTTGTTGGTTCTTTTGATTTTTTTGACTTTTTAAATTTTTTTTTTTTGTCATTTTGTAATTATTTAGTCCAACGTGTTTACCACACCGGGACAAAAAAAATTATAAAATATATTATTTGAATTGTCTCTTATTTTCTAATTATCGAACAAAAATGTATTACTATTGCCTCACCTGTAATTTTTTTTATTATAATATTAATTGAGAATATCACGTAAATAATATTTTTAGCAAAAGATTGTTGTATGCCACTTTTTTTTTAAACTGTTTTAGTGCATCTCAAACGGTGTATCAATTTTATTTATTTATTTTTTTATCAAATTTGAGTAAAAACTTCATTTGATATCAAGTGTTCTAACAGAAGATTTTTGAGTTTCATCATAATACCGGTCGATCAGGTGGACGATTGGATAGATATTCGGCCAATCGACCGGCCAGTATATAATTTTTTTTTTTTGCCTTGAGGTGGTCGACCAGGCGATGGATCGGTTAGTGTAAATTTTTTCACATATTTTTGCCTTGAGGTGATCATCTGGGAGGACATCAAGCAACGACAATGAACAGTGATTTAATAAAAGATATATTTGTTCTCAATTTGATGAAAGAAAACTAAAATTCTCAATTTGATACCTATTTGATGTAATCATTGGAGCATGAAAAGAACTCATTTTTTATCAAATTCAAATTTGATGAAAGGTTTGAGTAACCATTAGAGATGATCTTATACCATCAAATTATTTATTCTTTTTTCAATAATTATTTTTTTTAAAAAAATTAATCGTGAAAATCTATGTAAGCAAAAATAGAAAACCATGATAAAATATATCAAATTTCTCCTCATTTGACGATAATCCCTCATTTATATATCATTTTCACACTCATGACGGCTTCATGATCTCATTCATGACTCCACGAACTAGAAAATAGACATTAGCTATTATTCTGGGGCCATTTGGGAATATTTTTTTTAAAAAAAAAAAGAAGTCAAAAATCAGTTTTTTAACACATTTTGGGTCCTATCATCTCTTACATGTCAAAAATCAGTTTTTTAATACATTTTGGGTCCTATCATCTCTTATATAAAAAGTTAAAAAAGTCAAAAAAAATTTAAAAATTTAATTTTTAACCATCTTCTCAAAATAATAATGCCTACATTATACAAAATTTGTTTATGGAAATATCTTAAATAAATTATTGTGTGTTCAGATTCATATCATATATTTCATTCGTCTCAAAATATTAGTTCCTTATTTTAATTTTTATTGCTCTAAAATATTAGTTCTTTTTCAAAAATTAAGGACAAAAATAATATATGAATTTTTTATTTTGCTTTTTTTTTTTTTAAATTCATTAACAACATAAAAAGTACAATTATGACAATTGATATTCTCTAAAAAAATTACTATCAAATGATAATTTTGAAAAATTAATTTTTTTAAAGTGTAATAATTGTATTACCTAAAAAATTAAAATTTTCAAAACAAAATTACTAAAGATATTAAAAGTTTTACTAAAATTTTTATTAAATGTCTCACATCACATAAGTATGAAATTCAAATAAAATTTACATGGTGTGAGTTTCATATCCAAGATATTTGATAAAAGTTTTAAAAAAATTTTAAAACTTTTAATTTTACTCTTTTCAAAAAGGACTATTATTTTGAGATAAGGCCTAATAAATTTTTTTTTTTTTTTTTTATCCATCAATTTAGTGTACATATCTTTTTATCAAAAATGCTTTAGAGCCCTGAGCTCTAATAGCTCTAATGGGAAGGTGGGTCCTATCCTGATGTGATGTTTGTGTCTTGTTTTGTTTTGTTTTGTTTTTTTTTTTTTACTTTGACACATCATTAGAACTCAAATTAGAGCTCTATATTTAGAGCTCTCTATCCTTTCCCATCTTTTACTGTACTCTTTTTTTTCTTTTTCTATCTCTCTCTAATAATTAAGGGGTTGTGTGGCAGGCAATTTGGTTGGTTCACAATTTTCACACTTTCTGCTTTTGTTTTCTTGGTTTTAATGCAGGTTTGCTTTTTCAGACAATTTGTAAGGTCGGTTCCAAAAGTTGATTACTTGACGCTGAGACATGGATTCATCATGGTATATCACTCTTTCACATTATTTATCCATCTATACAAGGATTTGTTTTTTTTAGAAGAAAAATTGGTAAGAAATGTATTTATGTATATCATGTAGTTTAACTAATATTTTCTAAATAAAAAAAGAAATTACTACTTGATAAGATTCATTGCAAATATTACATTTACAGATTAAAAATAACTATTTAAAAATTTAAGGTATATGATTTTATATCCAAAAAAAAAACAGTACTAATGGTTAGAAGACTTTCGAAAATATTTGAGAAATTTAAACATCTTTTTTTTTTTTTTTTTTTCATCTCAAAATATTAGTTCTTTATTTTAATTTTTATTTCTCTAAAATATTAGTTCTTTTTCAAAAATTAAGGACAAAAATAATATATTAATTTTTTATTTTGCCTTTTTTTAAAAAATTCATTAACAATGTAAAAAGTACAATTATGACAATTGATATTCTCTAAAAAAATGTACTATCAAAGGATAATTTTGAAAAATTAATTTTTTTAAAGTGTAATAATTGTATTACCTAAAAAATTAAAATTTTCAAAACAAAATTGGTAAAGATATTAAAAGTGTTACCAAAATTTTTATTAAATATCTCACATGAGTATGGAACCTAAATAAAATTTACATGGTGTGAGTTTCATATCCAAGATATTTGATAAAAATTTTAAATTTTTTTTAGAACTTTTAATTTTACCCTTTTCAAAAAGGACTGTTATTTTGAGATAAGGCCTAATAAATTTTTAAGATTTTTTTTTCTATCCATCAATTTGTGTACAGATCTTTTTTCTGTACTCTTTTCTCTTTTTCTATCTCTCTCTAATAATTAAGGGGCTGTGTGGCAGGCAATTTGGTTGGTTCACAATTTTCACACTTTCTGCTTTTGTTTTCTTGGTTTTAATGCAGGTTTGCTTTTTCAGACAATTTGTAAGGTCGGTTCCAAAAGTTGATTACTTGACGCTGAGACATGGATTCATCATGGTATATCACTCTTTCACATTATTTATCCATCTATACAAGGATTTGTTTTTTTAGAAGAAAAATCGGTAAGAAATGTATTTATGTATATCATGTAGTTTAACTAATATTTTCTAAATAAAAAAAGAAATTACTACTTGATAAGATTCATTGCAAATATTACATCTACAGATTAAAAATAACTATTTAAAAATTTAAGGTATATGATTTTATATCCAAAAAAAAAACAGTACTAATGGTTAGAAGACTTTCGAAAATATTTGAGAAATTTAAACATCTTTTTTTTTTTTTTTTTGGTGACATTATTAAGCTTATGAAGTTCTGGTTCTATAATTTCAGGCACATTTGGCACCTCAAAGCCATTCAAAATTTGATTTTCAGAAGTACATCAATAGGTCACTTGAAGAAGATTTCAAGGTGGTTGTGGGAATTAGGTTAGTTCATGCCTAATTAATCTGTTATTTTTTCTTCTCAATTTTTTATTTTTTATTTTTATAACATCTGAGTTTTTTTTTTTTTTTCTTCATTGGGTGACTAACAACTATTTTGTTAATTTTCACAGTCCACCAATCTGGTTCTTTGCTGTGGTTTTCCTACTCTTTAATACCCATGGTGAGTGCTATCATTTATATTTCTTTAGTACTATGCTTTGCATGAATGGTTTCCGTTAAAATAGTTCTAAAAAAATAAAATAGATTAAAAAGTTAATAAGAAAAAATGGTACATCTAAACTATAATTTTTTTTTTTTTTCTCACAGAAATCATAAAAGCTAAAAAATCCATCCTAAACGATACTTCTTAACCCCAAATTAAAATAACTAAAAAATTAAAATATCAATTCACACTCTAAACAAAAGCTTAATTATGACAAAATAGAGTAGACTTTCTTTCCTTCTTTTATTAACAAAATAAATAGTGGGCATTCCACTAAAAGAAACTGCAAAAAAGTAATTTTTTTTTCCATTGAAACAAGAAGTATTTTACTTAAAAAAACAGAAGGAGATTAGTTACAGCTTCCCATTATAAATGTTTAGTAGTTTAAGTTCCTATTTGTTTTTAAAGATAGAATGAAAATAATTGATAGTAAGAGAATTAAGTTTTCATTTGGCATAAGCCAAACAGAGGCTTTTTGACTACAATAGTCATAAAAGGACAAAATAAACTTTTAATCCTAATAAGACAAAATGTTACATTCAAATCATAATCATTTTATTTTTTCTTCCACAAAAGTTAAAAAAGTTAAAAAATCTATTGCAAACGAGACTTTTTTGCCCCAAATTAAAATAGCTAAAAAGTCAATCCACATCCCAAACGAACCCTAATAGCAATGAGATTAATAAAATTGTGTTTGTTTTGATAATAGTTGTTAGTGTAGGATTTGTTAAATTATTTTAATATAAAATAGTAAAACAAATAAAATTATGATTTTTACTTAACAAAAAAATATAAAATCATTAAATATTAATGTTCAAAAAAAAAAATGCCCAACATGTAAAAAAAATTACAGCTGACCGGTTAACTGACCAGATGTCCCGGCGAAAGACCGATAACTCACTAAGCCGACAGACTATTTTCTAATACCACTTCTTTGTCCAGACTAACAATCCACTCGCCCAAGACTTATCTTAATCCGAACGGACTATCAATCTAGAAGGTCACAAACAAAACAAACGTGAGCTAAGTTCACTGTTCATCTATCACGATACAAAGTGGACTGCTATTCTAGAAATTGCTATTCCGAAAAACAAACAGAGCCTAAGGATATAAGGAAAAAGTTTTTAGTTGAAATCCTCGACTTCCAACTTTAGTTTTGAACCAAAGTACTCCCAAGCACTAATAGTTTGTTATCTTCTCTTTGGAATGATTTAAAAACTTTAAAATTTAATATTTGTTTACTTGCATATTCGTTTTTATAAAATTTATTTTTAAAATTTTCTTATCAAGATATATTAAATAAGATTCATGATGAATATGAAGTTAAAAATTAAATAAAATTTCACTGACCCAAGTCTGAGAAATTTCGCTAAAATTAGTTAAATGTCATTGTAATTGACTTTAAGTTTCACTGACAAAATTGCTCAGAGAAATTTTTGAATTGCTTATTTTCTTTTAAAGAAATTTCAAAAATTAGACAATTGAGAAGTTAGTGAAACTTCTGACTTTTAATTAAAAAAACTCTGATTTTTTTTTTCTTTTCAAAATTCCATATTCATCATAATCTTGCTTGATAGATCTCAACATGATAATTCCAAAAATATAAATTTTATAAAATACGGAGTTTCATATCAAAAGTTAATAAATTTTAAAGTTTTGAAACACATTTCAAAATAACTTATTTACAGTAAAGAGAGAGGGAGCTGAAATTTCATGGTACCAATTGTTAAAAATGGTATTCTTGACGTTTATGTTAAAATTTGTCTTTTATTTTCATGAAATTTTAAATCTTAGGGATTTTAACTAGCACACAAATTGGGATTATTCTTGAACTCTTACACAAATATGTAGAGGGATCCCTCCTTAATTGTTTTCAAGAGGGAAAATAAAATAAAAGTTTTTAATAATGATTTCCTAGGTGACATCAATATGGTGCCATATTTTAAAATAACTCTAAGAAGCAAAAAGTTAGACTAGATTTAAAAGCTCAAACTAGACTCTTTGTTTTAAAAAAAAAAAAAAAAAATACTGGACGGACCAGTATGAGAAGTTATTGGTTGTTCTTGGGAATCGTAACAAGTGTCCTATGTGTATTCTGATTGATGAAAATATCAGAATTACGATTTTATATTGTGTGATTGAAAAACATAAAACGACATGAAAATTTATAATTGATCAAAAACATCATTACGTAATGTTTCCGAACTAACCAATAATTTTTTTCAGCATACACATGAGCTCGAGAAAAAACAACATTGTGAATAGAAAAAATTTAAAATTTTAATTTACAAAAAAATTATCCATAGGAAGAAGCAAAAAGTTAGACTAGATTTAAAAGCTCAAACTAGACTCTTTGTTTTAAAAAAAAAAAACAAAATACTGGACTGACCAGTATGAGAAGTTATTGGTTGTTCTTGGGAATCGTAACAAGTGTCCTATGTGCATTCTGATTGATGGAAATATCAGAATTACGATTTTATATTGTGTGATTGAAAAACATAAAACGACATGAAAATTTATAATTGATCAAAAACATCATTACGTAACTAATAATTTTTTTCTCAGCATACACATGAGCTCGAGAAAAAACAACATTGTGAATAGACAAAATTTGAAATTTTAATTTACAAAAAAATTATCCATAGGCACAATCTAAAAATTCAATAAACTCTCTTGTATATGCTTGACTGAGAGAGAAGCCGAACTGCTATTTTTATTTCTTATGCTTCACTCTCTTGTATATGCTTCACTAAACTCTATTGGTTTTTATTTTTATTTTTTGTGGACAGGCTTGTATTCGTATCTTTGGCTACCATTTATCCCCTTAATTGTAAGATTATTTAATTTTTGTTTTGAGTTTAATACTTTTTTATTATTTAGAATATTGTTATCTAATGGGTTGATGATGATGATGATGGATGGACGGTGCAGATCATACTGTTGGTGGGAACAAAATTACAGGTGATAATAACAAAGATGGGGCTGAATATACAAGAGAGAGGAGAGGTAGTGAAGGGAGTCCCAGTGGTTCAGCCTGGTGATGACCTCTTTTGGTTTAACCGTCCCCGCCTCATTCTCTACCTCATCAACTTTGTCCTCTTTGAGGTCCCTTTCTCTCTCATCTTCTTCTACACCTATGATCTGATTATATTCTGTGTCTTCAAAATATTTATTTTTTTCTAATCAAACCACATAGTAAGAATCTTAAGGCACAATTGTGCGATTAAGTTGTTTGGAATGTTTTTAGAAAGTCAATTTTTTCATTAAAATGTCAAAAAAAATACATTTGTCACTAGTTAAAAAAAATCAATAAAATACTCACTTTCCAAATTATTATTTTTTTTAAAATTTTATACACACAAAACAACAAAAACAAAAATAAATAAAAAAATTTTAAGAGGGTTTTTGAGATGATACAAATAAATATATTTTTTAATTTTTTATTTATGAATTAAATTTGAAATGATATAATAAAAAAGTGATATCATCCAAATAAAATGTGTTAAAATGCCCAACACTCCCAACTGGCAGTGAAAAAGTCAAATCCCAATTGACCTCTGAGTATATAAAAATAAAAATTTTGAGTTAAAAAAATATGATACCTAATCCATATATACAAACGTATATTAGGCATAGGCACATTCTTTAACAGTTTTAATCAGGCATGATCGTTTTACTAATTGTAATTATTATTTTTTTGTGGTGTGTCAATCAATCAATGCAGAATGCCTTTCAGCTTGCTTTCTTTGCATGGACTTTGGTAAGCCACCAAACTCTTATAAACAGTTGAAAATGGTGTTTTTTTTAGGCTTTCTAATGCTGTGTTTGGTTGGGAGATTTGAGGAGGGATTTGAAAAGGGAAATGAAAAAGGTAGGTGAAATGTGAATTATTATTTTTTTGTGGTGTGTCAATCAATCAATGCAGAATGCCTTTCAGCTTGCTTTCTTTGCATGGACTTTGGTAAGCCACCAAACTCTTATAAACAGTTGAAAATGGTGTTTTTTTTAGGCTTTCTAATGCTGTGTTTGGTTGGGGGATTTGAGGAGGGATTTGGAAAGGGAAATGAAAAAGGTAGGTGAAATGTGAATAAAACATACCTATATTTCACCTAATTTCACACACCTTTTCCTTTTCTCTTTCCAAATTCCTCCCCAAATTTCCCAACCAAACACAGCATAAATATCCAAACGGAGCCTAAATATCATGTGCACATTAACTCCATATATATCTTATCTAATCTTCCCTTGAATTTTAATTTTGGTAGTATGAATTTGGAATTAAGTCGTGTTTCCATGAGCATTTGGAAGATGTGATTATCAGAATCTCCATGGGGTGAGTCTAAAATCTCTTTTTTCCCCACAAATAAAATCAAATTAATGCATAAAAATTTCTAACACATTTCAATTGTTGCTTACTATATTATTTTTGTGATTATCAGAGTTATCATACAGATTCTGTGCAGCTACGTTACTCTCCCTCTGTATGCCCTTGTAACTCAGGTAACAAACATATATGATTTTATTAGTACTATAGATAATACATTAGTGTATTGGAGGGGACAGTGAAATTGGACCAGTGATTTCCTAGTGCAGCACACCGTATATGAACCTCAATGAATAATTGAAACTGAAGTAAAATGACAATAAAATTATATACTCTAATGTTGTGTTTGGTTGAGGGATTTGAGCAGTGATTTGGAAAGGAAAATGGAAAAGGTAGGTGAAATATGAATAAAACATGCCTAAATTTCACCTAGTTTCACACATCTTTTCCCTTTCCCTTTTCAAATCCCTCCCCAAATCCTCCAACCAAACACACCATAAACGATTAGAATTTTGCTTTAATTTTAAATATGGGCCATCGCAAAGAGATTCATTGTAGAAAATTATGATCCCTCTTATTTAAAATGAACAAATCTAAATATGCCACATCGTTTTGTATAATTTTTTAATTTTGTACATCATTAGTCTATTGTGTTCAATTTTTTTCCCCTCTGTTTTCTGCCCAAACATTCAAAATTATAATTTGTCTTTTGTTATGGAATTCAACAGATGGGTTCAACAATGAAGCCAACCATATTCAACGAGAGAGTAGCAGCGGCTCTACGAAACTGGCACCACACAGCTAGAAAACACATCAAAGAGATCCAGAAGTCCGGCACCGTGACCCCGATGTCGAGCCGCCCTGCAACACCGTCCCACCACATGTCTCCTGTCTACCTCCTCCGCCAACACAAATCTGAGATGACCGACAGCCTCCATACATCCCCAAATGCAACAAACTTCGATGCCGAGCATTGGGACACCGACGGATCTGCCTCCCCTTCGTACCACCACCCCCACCGCTACCAAAGGGGTGGTGGTGATGATGGATCGTTGTCACATCACCACCACCATCACAATATTGAGCTTGGTTATATGGACCCTGATGTCCACAACAACCAAGAGCCGAGCTCGAGCCAAAGCCAAGTGGCTCCATTGCCACAAACCGAGATTGATATAGGATTAGGAAATAACAAAGATTTTTCATTTGATAAAAGAGCTAGTACTTGAATAACTATGATGGATTGAATTAGTTCCGCAATGCATTAATGCTAAGTGTATAAAATTAAAATATTAAAGCAAAACAAAAATATATTGTCTAATTAATTTTTTTTTGGAGGGTACTTTTTTATATTTTAATTTTAAACGCATAGGATTACTAATATCCATGTGGCCAATGCAGAGATTTTAGGACAAAGTTTTGGGGATAATTATGAGATGAGATTGGCAAAATGGAGGCTTTATTTCTTGGAGGCCTTTTCACTTAGCAAAGCTTTGTAAGCCTATCTATATCTATACTTCTATATCTATCTATCTATATCTATCTATACTATACTATATATATATATATATATATATATATATGTATGTATAATAGAATGTAGTGGCATTTCCAAAAACCTTCAAAATGTCATTCTAAAATTCTCATAATTTTAAAAAATACGTGACAACTCTCTTTTTAGTTTATAGCTTTTCTTCTTCTCTCTCAAAGACTTTCGGAACAATATAAACTCCTAACAAAACCTATCCATAAAAGCTGTCAAAAAAAAAAAACAAAAAAAAACAAAACCTATCCATAAAAAGCTGTCAAAAAAAAAAATGTCATGACTTTCACTCTTCCACAAATAAAAGTTGTCAAAAAAAAAAACAAAACCTATCCATAAAAAGCTGTCAAAAAAAAAAAATGTCATGACTTTCACTCTTCCACAACTCCTACAATAGATACATATCCCTCTCCCACGTATATTCCTCTCCCACGTTACTCTCCCACCTCAAACAAATCTAAAAACAAAAAACACCCATCTATCCGTATCCTATAACAGATAGATATAAAAAAAAGCAAATCCCCACCCATCTATCCATATCCCCTTAAACCATTACTTCCAACAATCCACTTCTACAAATATCAATACATATACTTCATTAACTTCCTTCATCAGCAGTGGACATCAGCAGTCCTTGAATTCAGCAATCCGCCTTCTCGATCGAATGCATGTCTTGGTTTTTCTTTTTCTTTTGCGTTACTAATTTATTTTTTGTTCCATGCATTTTTGATTTTGTATTTTGACTATAAATATTGCACAAAATTATAGTGTGCATGTCTCTATTTTTCTTTTTCTTTTGCTCTGAACATTGTAGTGTCCATGTCTCTGTTTTTCTTTTTATTTTGCTCTAATAATTTGTAGCATACTGTGTTAGATCAAATGCATTCTATATCTTCACATTCCATCACCTACTGTTTGTTCCACCAATACCTGTTGTTTGTTCCACCAATTTTGGTGTTGTGGGCTAAATACATACCGGGCCTTTTGAAGGCCGTAACGTAGCTGTTCTCGAACTACAGCTATCCCATGTTTATCATGTTATTCACAAATATCTAATGTTTAGTGGAACCAGAACTGTGGGATTTAATTAAATTTGCTTGGATTAAATAATAACGACAATTCTATTGTCATGGTTGGGCATTAGTTTCCTAAAATATGTGATCAATCCCTGAAAATAAAATTGTTTGAGCTTTTTGTCTTTCAAATGATCAGAACTTTTGTGAAGTTAAAAATTGTATGCCTTCTAGGTGATCAATTTAAGTAGATTAATAAAATCGATCAATTTAAGTAGATTAATAAAGTTTGCATTGTCATGGTTGGGCATCGGTTTCCCAAAATATGTGATCAATCCCTGAAAATAAAAATGTTTGAGCTTTTTGTCTTTCAAATGATCAGAACTTTTGTGAAGTTAAAAATTGTATGCCTTCTAGGTGATCAATTTAAGTAGATATACAAGCTATAAAAATTCAATACAAAAATAGACCTCAAATATCTATAACTTAAATAAATTAAAAACATATATACAAGCTATAAAAATTCAATACAAAAATAGACCTCAAATATCTATAACTTAAATAAATTAAAAACATATATACAAGCTATAAAAATTCAATACAAAAATAGACCTCAAATATCTATAACTTAAATAAATTAAAAACATATATACAAACTATAAAAATTCAATACAAAAAAAGACCTCAAATATCTATAACTTAAATAAATTAAAAACATATATACAAGCTATAAAAATTCAATACAAAAATAGACCTCAAATATCTATAACTTAAATAAATTAAAAACATATATGCAAGCTATAAAAATTCAATTCCAAGCATTGATCAATAATTTTGTTCAAGAGTTCCAAATGTGTTTTATTTTCCTAGAAACAATTATTTTATTATTTCTTTTCATATATTGATTGTTTAAAATAAGTAATGTCATACATGAAAACATATGTTACATTTGAGAGTTACATGTTTATATTTAATTTAATTGTCTGTACATATACTATGTTTAATTCATACAATTATTTTATTTTATAATTAAGTACCTTTTTTTTTCATTTTTTTTTTTGAAGAAACGATTTTTATGTTAACAATTATCATTATAAATTTTACTCAAATAATAATAAATGTGGTTTATTCTTTTAAAAAATTGACTAAAATTATGTAATTATATGTTAAATTCATTAGGCAGATAAATATGCGGCCTCCTCTAAATTTGCGCTGTAGTGATCATTTGGCCATGCAAAATGCCATAAATGAATTTGAAACTGTACCGCATAAAGAGGGTTTACCAATAGAAAATTTTGCTGGTTGAAAAATCAAAATATGTCGAGCAATGCAAAAATTATGAAAAAAATAAGTGAAAAAAAATTGATGGAAACAATATTAGACCTTTTACCATTGAGCTGGAATGAAGTAAAAAAAGCAATTTTTCAAAAGCTTGAAATCAAAGATGCCTCAGACTTAATGGATGCTTTAATGGAGGGGGAGCGTGAAGTTCATCCTCTATGAATTGAACTTGAGCAAGAGCGGATAACTCAAAATTTGACGGTACGAGAGCATATGTTACACAAAGAGTAAGTGTTTTATAAACTTAGGATTAAAAAAGACTTTCCAGACATGAGAGCATTGATAGTTATATTGGAGGAAATTGAAAATGATATGATTTGTTTACAAGCATTGGATGAAGTGGAGCAACGCATTGGTAATGAAAATATTAAAGTGGAACAACAGTAACAACAACAACAAAATAATGGTGTGAAGAGAATGACGTGAAGCAACAACCCAAAAATGAGGACAATTAAATCAACACTCCTCATAAGATAATTGTGTGAGTAATTTTCTGACCACACTGCCTGCTTAGTAACCAACTGGAGAGCACTGGCAGAATAGATGGCATCTGGCTGACCTGCAACAGAAAGAGAAGATTCCGGCGGTGGTTCGTCCACCCGGGGGCACTCCGGCGATCAAGTCAGTATATCTCTCAAAGATAAATCAAGTGCTAAACTCACAAGCTTGAGTATCAAAAGCATACCTTAGACCTATGGGGGTGCCTCTCTTTTATAGCCAACATAAACCTAGTCCTAATAGAAGCCTAACTTCTATGGACTCAGGATTACTGCTAATCTTGGACTCTCAGTAAGATTAGAATAAACTCTCTAAGAGTCTTATCTTAATACAAACTGAAGTCTTCTCTCATTCTAGGACTTTTGCCCCTCATCTGCTTATCTCGGATTTCGATGTGTTCGGAGGTAACCTCGGCCTATCCGAGATGATCTCGGCGGAATAACCAGGACACGTGGCACCTCGGCTGACACGTCGACGTCACCTTGGCCACATGTTGGTACTCAGAGAATATATCCCCACAACTGCCCCCTAGGTTCTATTACCTCGGCAGAGGTGATGGAACCTACACTGTTCGTTCATCTGTGCCCCTCTGTCCGAGATCAAACTCGCCGACCTCAAAGTTCCCTAGACTTTACTGTCCACTTCTGTCAAGTATCAAGCTTCATGCTTTCCAAGCTGCTCGAGATCACACCTCCTAGCCGAGGTTCTTATTCCATTAATTCGTAAACTCCAAGAACTTTGCAACTGCACCACTCACATTCTTCGGTGGGTTCCCGACTTCCAGTCATCTATTTGACTCCGGCAATCTTCATATTGGCGTTCATTTCTCTTGGTAGGTTCATAAACTCTTTTATTAAGCTCAATCTTTCATGACTCTTTTGAATCCATTTACTTGCCCTCTGTTGTCTTCTATTTTCAAGTTTTGAATTGTTTGAATGCCTGGCACTGTTCTTGCCATATCCGTTTTCTGTTGCTAGCATCGTGTCTGGGTCATTACTTTCTTGTTCTTCACATACTCACTTAGTGCTATTGTTAAACTTTGTCGTCTTCTTAACTCTGATTTTTTTCTTTTTTCATTCAATTCTCTGGCTTTTTCTCTTTCTAGCTCTTTTGCTTAAATCCGTCATTGTTCCAAGCTTTCAAGCTCTGCAACTATTTTCGTTCCTCTCCTCCGGTGAAGCTTACGTGATTCTGTCATTTTCGCATCCGTCGTCAGACTTTCGGCAATTCTCATTCCGACTTCCCTCTTTCTGGTAAGCCACTGTTCCTCCTGGTTTTATTTCTTGTTGCTTTCCAAGAAGCTCTGTTTTACCATTGCTGTTTTACCATTGTTAATCACCATTGCTGTTTTACCCGTTGTTTCCAAATCATCTTCTTGAATACACATTGTTCACACATCTGTTGATTTCTGCCACTGTTCTTGGCTTGACACACCTGTGCAATCTTTTTGTCTTGATTTCTTGATAGCTTCATCACCATTTTTTATTACGAATTACATTCTGGTTTCTGTTTTCTGTGTCTTTTTTCAGATTCTTACTTTTAATCCTTGCCTTCAAACTCCGAAGTGACAATCGCCGAGAAGAGCTTTGATCAAACTCTTCGGGAGATCGATGTAGAGCTCGAGGCCGAGAAGGCTGCTGAGAAGTCTTCCCAACTGTCTTCTATATCCTGTCATTGATGCCGAGTAGTTTTGTTTCCTTCTTTTACTCCTTGTACCTTGTACCTTGTACTTTGTCCTTCTTTGTATGCTTTTAATCCGGCCGACGTGTCATTTTTGTAGTCTGAATAACTTATTTTTCAATATTCAGGCCGAAATGCCTTCTTTCTTCTTTAAATACATTTCTCTAATTTCTTCTTTGAATGAATGTCTTCTTTTTTCTGCTCTTGTATGATTCTACACTTAGAATAATTTGCATGTCTTCAAAGTACACCTTGACTGTGCAA